ATAAATATAAATATAAATACAAATACAAATATATAATCAGTAGTCTTGAAATCGATATCCAAGGAAATAGTTCACAGGCAATCAAATTGTACGTGGTCTCGAAAGCATGAACCTTCGTCCCTTTAGGAACAGCCACAGGCATACGTCGTGAGCATGTTAGACATGTATGAGTAGTGAGCACGTGTACCTTTCTTTGCAGCAAACATCTTGAAATCGTCGAGTGAGAGCACTTGCACTAACTCATCGGGGTCTCGCGCCAATGGATCCTCCTCCTCGGATTCCTCTGTTTTTTAACACAAAAGAAGAAAAGAGACCCATTAACGATAACATATATATTACAACATGTTGCGATATACAAGTTTGGGGGGGTGTATGTTGGCTGAACTTCTCGAGTCGAGTTTAGTATGCAGCAAGGCCTTGTACAATTATCCGTATACTCATCGGCGAGCAAAGAGACAGAGGCAATGACTATGTACGACATAATAAACGACATAATATGCGACATGATTAACAACATAAGGTGCCAAACAGTGCACAATATTCAATCAGCATCACTGATAGCCCCCGAGACTTGCTCTTTGTGCGGCAAACATGCATATATATCAGACGCTTTTCAGAAAATACGACATTTAATATACGACATGGCATACTAAACAACACACGATATACCATCAGCATCATTGCTGGCCACATAGTTTGTCTCGTCGTAGAGATACAAGCACATGAATATCCGATGTTGCTCCGCAAATACAACATAAACAAACACACGACTTACCATCACTGTCATTGCAGGCTCCAAAGTCTTTTGCCCAATACATGAGAATGATAGATTCAAGCATATACGACATAATATACGACACGCTATACTATATACGACATACCATCAGCGTCATTGCTGCCCCCAGGGTCTTTTTCTCCATGGGGGAACACATGCATGAATATCAAATTCTTTCCGGTGTCGTGTTGGTGTTTGAACTTGCCAGGTGTCTCCTATGGTACACGGCAACGGACCCAAGGGTTTCAGGGTTTTAGCGGTTTTGGGTAGAGCAAAGATAAAAATAGAATGTGGCAGTTCTAAAAATAGAATATCACTGTGTTTGCTGCAAACGCACCCATATCAGCTCAACGGGAGAGAGGGCAAAATTAAACTGATAGCCTACGATCGTTTGCAATAGAAGGCGAATTACTCACACACTCACAGAGAGATCCACCAGGACAAAGTACTAGAGTAGCGCACCCGAATATACATAGCATGGAAATATATACACAGTATGATTACATATTCATAGTATGAATATATATATATAGAATGGTTATATACACATGGTATGATAATATATATACATAGTATGATTATATATACATAGTATTGTTATATATATATAGTACGGTTATGTTTACATAGTATGATTTTATATGCACAGTATGGTAATATATACAAATACTATCATGATGTACTTCTGCAGCATAATACTATCTATCTATGTGTATATACCTCCTTGGGTATATCCACATGTATTGTGAACAGACATTGAATACAAACATGGAATGTATAGAAACACCCGTACCTTAGAGGCTCCCCGGTCCTCCTCATAGCCCACACTGATAAGTGATGCTGTGATGTACTTCTGCAGCATGGGATCGTACTTCTGTCTCGTCGCTTTGCCGCCACCGATACAGAAGGTGGCACAGCATCCCTTGTTTCTGATTGGTGTAGAGAAACAATCCTGCCAAAAAGGATGCAATTGATTGGTTATTGCGGTGACGAGTACAGCTAGGCGTAGTGGCCAGCAATCAGTTGGAACTGCAAAAGGTGCCAGTTGAATTTGTTCACATCAACACGTACACAAACTCTCACTTATCTCCTTGATACCGATTGAGCTATACATACACACACACGCACATGCCAATATAATATGACATATGCTGCGTCTGTGCATACTATGTGGGATAGCCAAAGATCTGTATACGGCAACATAATATGAAATAAGCTGCGTCTGTGGATACCATGTCGGATAGCCAAATATGTGTAGAGATACCTCAGCGTGTGCTGGATGTGAATATCAGATTGTGCAGCTACGGCAATGTGTAGTAAGGCGTGTGCGAAATAAAGATAGAGAGAGGTCCCTGAAAGAGAACCACGGTAACAACCTGGAGAGAAAGAGAGTAGACAACACATCCAAGAAGTACTATAACAAGGTGCACATATAACAGGTACTTAAAGACGATAGAACCACAGTACACAAACTGGAGAGAAAGAAAGTAGACAACACATCCAAAAAGTACTATAACAAGGTGCACATATAACAGGTACTTCAAGACGATGACACACTCAATTGCAACGTACGACCGCAGACCTACGTAGTCAGCCGACTTTTAAATGCGAAGACCTATCGCTGAGGAAAAGGGCACGTATAGTACTACATGCGAATGTGGGTGCGGCTAAACTTATGGGTCACATATTAATCCCGTGAGCGAAAGCGATTGCTCAGACTAGAAAATATCTTATCCAGCTTCATATGGTAGAGATGATCATGTGTATATATATATAGACACTGTGTTCATGCGTCCTAGAACGATCCAACTGCATGCGTAATAAAATATCGACAAAATATTAGCCTTATACGCGTGCTTAGTACCTTTCTTCTCATGTATATTATGCTTCTTTTGAATACAGGAACCGAGTTTTATTGACCACGTACGTAGAACTGCGCACGAGCGTGTCTATACATGGTTTGGAGGCGCACAACTGGGTTTACAAGCAATATGCCATACCTACGTACTAGTACGTCCACATGTGTGGAGCCATACATACACTCTCAAAATATTAAGATGTTCTGTACTGACACATTGATAATTGATTCGCAATTTATCGATAAGAAATCGCATGAGACAAGCAGAGGAAGGCGTTTGCAGTGTTTTTGACTGTGAGAAGATATGTATATACTGCATGCGACATGCGAATTTTCGATTAACGCCAATGGTGTGTACACGAATATACCTGCGACATTTACTCGATGCAGTAACATAAACTAACGACCGTGCGTACTATAGATGTCTTCTAAGGTGTGTGGTGAAAGCGTACGAATACCGTTCTTCTCAGATGTGTTGTGTACGTATGCACATACCTTGATGAGCTTGTCGAGCTTAGCCTGGTTGTAACCTCCCAGATCAAACTGCTCAATGCCCTCGCACTCGCGTACTTCTTTGGCTAGGCCTGAAAACTCCATAGTTACTACTACTGGTTCTGTTATTTAATCTACAGCTAAGTGTTTACAATATTTACGTATATTGCGCTAGTTCGTCTGTGTGCTGCCAGTAGTGTAGGCTAGCAGATTACTACAGTATAATTAAGTACGTGGTCGTCCGTGTGTATGTACTCCGTAAGCTCACACGGTACACGGACGAGTGTTGGTTTGTTTGATCAATGATCACAATCACTCCGCGAGAGTGTCAAAGTAGGGTTCTCCATTCTGCACTACCCAAGCGAGCCTCGAAAACAAAATAAACCCCCATTCTGAACCACTCATTAGATAAACCACTCTGGTTTATACCATGGAATATAAATACTGCAGAGATCTATAAAAGGGGTTTTTTAGGTCAGCGAGCACAACATGGTTTATCAGCTGAGTATTAAAACTTAGTTTATGTCAACCTGAACGCAAATTGCAAACGAGAGGCATATTCTCTATTTAAAAAAAAACAACATTTTTTGTGTTTTAAAAAAATAATGACGGGCCACTCCGCCACTGGTCAAGTGTCAACAACTAAAAAAAACACATTGCCCCCTGATTCTGAATCATACAATAAAACAATAAAGATAGTAGGACTAAATAAATATTTACATAAAAAACCCGTTAAAAAAACAGGAAAGATCGTCAGTTTATTGTTGTTTTTTTTTTAAACAAAAAAAAACAAAGCATAATATATCTTCGTCAAACCATAAATAGCCTTCTAAAAACAAACAGTCAAACAATGACAATATTTTTAGCATATTTTTTATATGCAGACTCAGCCAGCGTTTTTATTTCTCAGAAGGCTAGGAGGCATGAGCCAGCAGCGGGCAGCCCTATAAAAAATATAAATAGACCTTTTTTTAAAAATAAATTTTATATTTACAAAAGCCAAGTATTTATTTATTTAGTCCTCTTTTAGGCTCTTCAAGTCTTCTTCTTGTATTTTTTAAATATTTATAATTTTAATGGGGCTAAATATGACAAAAATGACCTTGGAATTTCAATTTTTTTATCCCATAAGCGTATTTTTTTCTGTTTGTTTTAAAAAAAGAACAAACAGCCCAACGCCTGAAATTTGTATGTAAGTAATGCATCTCTTTTACCTGGGAAGTGGGAACTTGCATCAAGGTTGTTAAACGGACAAGAAAAGTCCTGACCGGATAACCGTTTGCATTTACGGACAGTCGGACAAAGAGCAATATATGGACCAAACAAACAGACAGGCATCAATCTTGAAATGGACAAATGGTTTGGGTCAATTTGTACCAGGCGATTTTCAATTTACCAATGGACAACAGGTCTTTTTCGAATGGGACACATGGACAGCCTCAAAAACAGGTCATAATACCATGGACAGCCCTTTTTTCCCAGACAGTTTAGTCCATTTGTCCGTTTAACAACCCTGACTTGCATCACAAAAGTTGAGCGTAAATCATTAACGTTTTTCTATAGATTTGTACTGTTTTACTTTTTTAACCCCCCCCTCCCCCCCCTGCGCCCCTCTAATGGCTATTGGCTAATAGATTAAATAATTGAGTATGTATTTATTTGTTTTGTTTTGTTGGTCTTTTAGGTAAAATAAGCAGCGGATGGCAAATTCCATCAAGCACGGTGTTTACAGGAAGGGGCGGAGAATGGCTGCTACGATATGCAGCATTACATGGACACCACATTTAGACTTATTACGACATCACAACAGATTCCACAATCCACATCAACAAACGTTACATTCGATATGCGCTTGCAAAAATTGTACACATATCGCAAATTACCAAGGTTTATTTGTGATAGCATTGGCCCTAAGCAGGGCAACCTTAGTGAAGGGAATCACAAGCAGTTTCATAGAGAAAACAGCTCCAGATGCCATTGCCACTAAACAACGATCAAATATAGGTAATTCGGACATCATGTAAATCTAAACAATATACATCGGCATCTTTTGATTCCTATGCAGTTGACGTCAACCACGTGATAACGTTGTTGACGGCCACTGAAATACTCAGGATGCCATTGAACGACAGGGGGGTTTCCACCCAGATTGAAAGAACAACGGACCTCGGCGAGCCACCTGAGACTGTACACGTGCCCAAGGTTTATTTATCGATGTCGTAAGGTGTAGCCTCCCGCAGAACCACCGACTCGTATCAACTTAAAAAAATGAGACTGCGCATATCAACCACACGGACGACGGAAGTGGGAATAGAAATGTGAAAGGTATAAAATGCAATTTTCGTATTGCAAGTATTAATTAGTGGGGAATGTCAATACCCGGCCAGCAAAGGTTGACTACCGACCCAATTGGATATGAAGCTTGTACATACCTGACACACGCTACTAGTTAACAATCAAGCGTTTCCAGTAGTTAATAAGAATGTATGCTACTGACATCTTAAAATAAATAAGATTATCCCTATAACAGTTTCCAATGACATGCTGTAAATCCTAAACCCTAAACCCTAAACCCCAAACCCTAAACCCTATAAAACAATGAACCAACAATGCTTGCGACAATTTTGGCATCATGAGTTGGGGATAAAAAGCAACTATGAGCTTAACGAGCCACTACATTCGGTACAATTCGAACATATGTTGTTTCTTGTGAGTGATATGAAATTAAACCAAAGCCACAGAATATGGATGAACCTCAATTAGAAAACGCTACCGACGTGTTTAAATTTTCTTGAAAGAAAGTATGATGAGAACTCAATGCCACACAGATCAAGCACTTTCACATCCGCGCATTTAGCGCGCAGTGTGGTCAAACGTAGCCGACATTCTAAATATGTTCTTTAATGTGTTTTATTTGCCATCGGAGTGTTTATATGAATCTGAAAAACTTCAACATATTAAAAACAGGGATAGACTGAAATAAATATTTTCTTGCAGATAGTATCCTAATATGTACGAAAAGTCGTAGAAATAAGCAATTGCCATTTATTTTTGAGTACCATTATTATTATTGAAACTCAACTGATAATATTCTTCATCGTTGCGACATAAGCGTTATACACCGAACCAACCACTCAATTATTAAACATTCAACAAGCAACACAACTGCGCATGTTTCTGAATGGAGGAACATGTCAGACAAGAAACTACAGTAGCGGCAAGCGAAAGCCGTGAACACGAATGGCGCATCCAGAATGCCCATATTTCCAAAGGGGGTTGTATGTGTGAATAGATTGTATATTTTAATATGGGAAGATGACACCCCGAAAATATATTGAAAGAAAAACTACTCTCAAACAGTTCTAGATTTGAGATGCTCGGAGCTAGGTGAGATATTTTGGAGGGATATGTTAGTTAAAAGAGATCGTCTCAGAGTTCGGAAAGGCAATTGATGGAGGAATCAGTTGAATTTTTCAGGGTTGGTGGTTTGATTCTCTCGGGTCCCTCACAGACAATAAAAAGATGGATAGTGCTCACTGTAGGGTTGTAGTATTCTTTGGCCCTTGTGTGACCTTATCCGCTGCCTCTTGGGTTGACCTTGTGATAGCGAGTTTGCTCCCGGCCAGCTATGGGGAAGAAGCTAAGTTACGCTTAAAGTGTCTGACCCAAATGTAATTCACGATTCGAAGCGTTAAAGGTTTGCAGACAACAACATAAGCCTATTTTATGGTGATACGAGGAAATTGCACATACAGATAGAATTAATCTTTAAAAAAAATAAGTAGGGATATAATTATGGTGCTGAAGTGGATATTCTGCCATCATAATATGACCTTCACTTCACTGTGAAATGGTATACTGTCTCCACTTCAGCACGTTGCATCGTGGTATATGGTGCTAAACGCCTTTAACTGATACAAAAGTTTTTTAAACTACAAAATACAATTAAAATATAAAAGATTTTGAACGACCTCACAGACCAGTTTTAGCTTCATGAAAATTTCATATTCGGGTGATAAACTATAAAAATACAATTAATTAAGCAGTTAAAAAATCCAGTACGGAATATGAACGCGTTAGACAGCATGATGGGATGAACAAGCTCACAACACTACTAGCGTTGACTTTATGGGGCGTATCTGATTCTGTTACAACGGCCTCGCTCGTATTCCATTTATATCGAGAAGCCCCCTCATAGACGGTTAGACTTTGGTATCAACATCCTACACTGCGCTTGGTTAAAGCCTGGTCCACAGTATATACGCCAGCAACAGGTTAAACAGGCTTGCTGTATATTTATATCCTGACATTATATTTATTTGCAATGGTATTTGCCTAGTACTGGCATTTCCTGTGTATGGGAGTCTCTTCACCTTCCGTCAACCACAGGGCCTTCTCCGAGGGGTCCCAGATATCAGCGCCAGAATTAAGGCAGTCTATAAGTAAGCTCACGGACTCTTCACCGAAGCCAGGCTCCTGTATTGGTAAAAGCAATACATAGGAAAGTGTCATACTTCTATTATCTGCGATGCTTGAAAGCATACAGGCGTGCAAACGAGTGTAAAGGCGTAAATATGCATGCTCACACACGAACTAACACACAGAGCAAACACAAAGGAGACAAACATACCTGTCTGAGCAAATCTAACTCGTCTGTAAATCCGGAAACTGCGTGGTCCATGTAGGCTGCACTAAACGCCTCTCCGTCCACCGTGCGTTGCGTATTGGCCTGGTTACTAGTGTCCTCTGATGTGCTTGTGCGTGTGTGTGTTTGTGATGATGGTAAGGCCTGTGTCTGCGTGTGTGGGGGGTGCTCGTCCTGTTCAAGCGTAGCAGCTATAGATGCCTCGCTGTCGTCAATTATATCCGAAGTTCGGGCCAATACACCGGCATTGGCTCGCACCAGGTCTGACCACAACCCAATCTCTGTCATTTTCTTGGATCCTGCGGTTGAAGCGGCTTTCACATCCTGAGTACACAGGACACGCACGTGCGTAGGAGAGAGAGAGCGAAAGGCAGTCAGCAGAGTGTTGGGTGTATTTTAACAAACCTGGATATTGCACATCACATATACACCACCGGGCAGATAGGGGTTTAGGGTTTTAGGTTTAAGGAATGTGAAATGTCGCAAAGAGTTTGATGCGATGCGGGTAATGGGGGGGGGGTCATTTAAAGATACCAGACTGGTTATAAACAAAAGCTAAACACATCACAGTACGGGTGCTCTCTCGACTTAAACGCAGCCACCTGAAGCACGAGCATACACGCGACGCAGAAACAACAAGCGTACAATCAGCGTATACTACGTAATAGGACGAGTCCTCGGACCATGTGGTGGCTAACCTATTGTATCTGACCTCTCACGAGCTTTGTATGTGAGTTGCACAGATGCTTTCACACACAAGAACAGGCAGATTCAGATCATATACACAACAGATAAATACATCGGCATGTTTACTTTACACTGTATACAAGAAATTAATTGATGTGCTTCCATGAAAAGTTTCTCTAACGCTGTGGTGAGATCCTTTGATCCTTTTGCACAATCTACCACAGTTGAAAGACTTGCCCAGTCCATTTCACATACCGGACAGGACAGGTGCATGCACACACATCCCCATCCCACAATGACTAGCAGACCACAGGGAGATGCTGCAAACACTCACCAACTTGTCTCGAGAGCCCACTTTCGATTCAGTGGGGCAGCGGTGTATATACATAGAAACCCGACTCGGGTGCAACAGCGAGTGTCTCAGATACACATACAGAACGAGACAGTCATTAGGTAGTCCCATGCAACATTGCACAATAGGACCAACTCACGCGTGCATGAAGACGACCAGCCTACACTCTCTGACTCTATAGGGACACTTGTGTAATCACTGGTTTATAATAGATGATGGACTGTATGAAGGGTTGGAAGCAGCAACCAAGCGAGGCGAAAAACAAGCAACACGCGCACAACCCCACCATCATTCGCATACTCACCTTCAAGTACACCTCCTCTGACCTCATGCCACCATCCTTTGCATCAGCAGACATGCGCTGCGTGAATTGGACAGAGCGTTTGAGGTACTGCAATAGGCGGAAGTCTATACCCACTACTCGGTCGGCGAATTCATCACGAGTGTCCGGGTCACAACTTCGCATCACTTCCATTGCTGTGTGGATGGCAAAGGTCGATTGGGTTAGAGGGAAACAACACGTGTGGGCTGCGATTGCAAATTGTATATATATATATGCGATTGCAAATTGTATATATATATATATATATAATATATACATACATACATACA